GCGCAGTTACCCGACCTGCAGCCGTTGCCCGGATGAGCACCCCCTACGATCCCGCGGCAACCTCAGCCCCGCCACTTGGAGTGTCCCGACTCTGCCAGCCCAGAAGGGAGGGTCCCGGTATGTCATGCCGGGGGTCAAGGGGCGCCACACACACACGTTTCTGAATCTGAGCTCACTGCCCAGCACCAGCATCCTCCCCAGGCCACTGCCATCGCCTGACCCGTCCCCCCAGATCCAAAAAGGGTCCTCGGCAGCCCCCTGTGTGCGGAGCGCTCGGTCCAACGAATGGAAACCGCTTACGGCCATGTTGTTATTTTAAGAGCTGATGGGCCCCGGGCGAACCAAGCACCTAACCTACGTACAACTTTGGCTCTCGGTTATTTGTTTGTGTATTTTCGGGGAGCACAAAGTATAGAAGGGTAGGTAGTTTGTGGCCCCCTATCTTCTAAGGACGTGAAGGCCCCCTGACAAGAGACTCTCGGGAAAGAAAGAAAAAAAAAACAAAAAAGACTACCACAGCTAGACAAGACATCAGATGAGATGTGCGTTGTGGGGCCTCAGGGCTTAGACTCAATCTGCAAATGAGGGCGCCTCCTGGTAACTAGCCAAAAAAAAAAAATCAAAGTTATTAAATCTTACTATTCCTGACTGTAATGTCTGTCTGTTATATTCTTGTCTGTTATATTCTTGTTTGCATGCTTTTGCCAAGGCCTTCAACCCCCCCCCCAAAGAGGAGCGTGTTTTGTTGACATTAGTATCCACAGGAATTTGGGCGGGCTGGAAGCCTTACGGCACCAGGGGGCGCTCCTGCACCAGGGTGGCATTGTGTTTATGTTTACAGCCACAAATGGCGCGGCGCCACGGCGACCTTGGCTCATCTGAAACAGTCACCTTGACACTTAGGAAATCTTCCATTTGGGGCCATTTGTACCCTTGGAGTTTTAAAATGCGTAATTCTCTTACGACAGTATATTTTGTTTGGTAAAAAATGTAAGTAAGTGGTGTTTGAGCCCAAAGCTGGTGTCATTGTGTAAGTCACGTGATTAAATTGTGGTTGAAATACCTATGAACCTAAGTTGTAACCTGAGTTTCTTGCCAATATCTCGGACAGTATCTCCTAGATGAAGGTCGTCAGGAAGGAGACGGAAAGAGTCTACGTCACACATTGCCCTCCCACCTCTGTCCCATTGGGATTGCTGACCCAAGGGAGATGGTGAAGTCTGTTAATCTGTCGTTTCAGGTTGTAGATCATTATGAGAATCCTAGGAATGTGGGGTCCCTTGACAAAACATCCAAAAACGTCGGGACCGGATTGGTGGGTGCGCCGGCGTGTGGTGACGTCATGAAACTGCAGGTACTGGCTGGATGGAAAGGATCACCGTAGCAAATCGTCTTGTCTGTCCATTCCTGTGAGACAGATTGAGTGGCTGTCATGGATGGTGAGGGTAGAGGCTTGTCTTGTTCTGAAACAGATGACTTCATTTTCCTCTTCACTGCATCACTGTAGACCCCTTTTCAGTGAGTGAAAGGCTTTATGAATGTTACTGGCCAATGGAAGAATCCGCATGAGCTAGCACTCGACAGTGAGAAAGGGAATGTGCTAACCGAACCTTTCCAGGAAGAGGAAGGGGCGGGAGATGATGTGTATCACCTGAGTAAGCAGTAGGAAGGAGCCACTAATTATAGTCGGTGTCCAAGACATTAATGAGGACCTGGATTGCAGGCTCTCCTGGTGCCTAAGGAGGCCGATAGAGGCAGCAGCTGTCAGCAGACTTCTGCTTAGAATTCACATACAGCAGACTAGGGTTGAAAACAACCAAAGTAGGGTGAGAGCCATCGTTTCCCTGCTCCTCTCTCTCTACCGGCTGGGCCTGTGTGGACCCCGAGTTTCACTGTCAGTGACTGAGCTCTTTCAAAAAAAACAGTAATCAGTGCCATGGCATCTGGTGTGGGCAGCAAGCCAGGGCTCATTCATAACACACACTGTGGGCCAGAAGTTCCAGGCTCTTGCATTCTAGATGTCAGGTCCAGGAATCACCTCTGAGCGCCTGTTTCTTTTCTAGATCCAGGTGGATGAGAAGGGGAAGATTGTGGATGCCAGATTTAAAACATTTGGCTGCGGCTCCGCCATCGCCTCCAGCTCCCTAGCCACGGAGTGGGTAAAGGGAAAGACGGTAAGAGTGGTCACAGATTGTATAGAATTATTTAATCCCAGCACTCAGAAGGCAGAGACAGAAGGATCTCTGAATTCCAGGCTAGCCTTGTGCACATAATGAGACCTGTTTCAACATAATCATAGAATTAAATCAGAATTCCCTGCAACCCTGGCTCTGGAAGAGTCTAGTCATAAATCACAAAACAAAAAGCAGGAAGATGAAGATAGTTAGTTCAAAACCAGCTTGGGAAAGGCAGCAAGACCTTGCTTAGGGGGAAAAAAAAGATGTCAATGATTTCTTGAAGCCATTTTCTAAAGTTTAATACTGGTTACATTCCTCACATTGGGAGTTGTGAACCATTTTGAGGCTTTTTGTTACTGTTACTTGGTTATCAGCTAAATAGACGAGGGTCATCACCAGTCCCTCTGACCAAGCAGAACTGAAAAGAAACCACCATGGGCTTTCCCTAAGGTTTCCTGAGAATACTGTGTAATAATTACTCCTTGTTTCCTCCTATCTCCTGTTTCGACTGGGATTCCAGAAAGGCACACTTAGAGGCTGGTAGAAGTATCTTGTGTTGAGGGGGTTCAGAAGTCAAAATCACAAGGATGAGGGCGGAGTAAAGGAGAGCAGTGGTCCGGGTGGCCAGCCAGGAACTTCTGAAAGGAATTGGGAATGGGCTGTGACATCTTTTCTGTCCTTTTCTCTACCGGCCCCCTCCTCAGCAGCTAAGATGAGTCTGCTAAGATCCAGCTGCATCAAAACCACCCGCACTAGCTGGGTGTGGTGGCTCATGGCTCACCAGCCAGGAATCCCAGCGCTTAGGAGGAAGAGGCAGGATTGGGACAGGAAGGTCTTCCTCAGCTACGTAGCAATTTAAGCATCACCCTGCCCTGCATGAGACCCCATTTTAAAGCAGTGCGCTCATCTTTTGTACCCTTGCAGGACCCAGTTCAGGAAGCTGAGTCATGGAGGGGTATGCTTATGTTGTCAGCCAGCCCTCCAGTGGAGCCATTTACTAGCCTCATGCCCCCTGCTCCACATGATTCAGGCACTTGGGCTGCAGAGCTTAGGGAGGCCCAGGCCTGCTTGTTCTGGAAGAAAATGGCTCAAAGGAAGTTGGTTAAGAACTAGCCTTGGGGAAAGGAGAAGTGAGACTGGGCACATGCTATGACATGGCATTTAGAGAGCTCTGAGCTATGATTGGAAAGTAGGAAGACTCTTTCTCTAATCTCAAGGTCTCCTGTCTGGGGGAGACTGGCTTTCCCTAATGTACTGGCCATGTCCCCTGCCTCTATCATCCCTCAGAGCTCTCAGTGCACAGGCACCCTCGGGCAGAGGCTGCAGAAGCAGCCTAGGTAATACCTGCCTTCAGTGGGCAGGGGTCTTGTTCTTGCTTACCCAGCCAGGCAGCTCAGTTGTGTGTGTCCCCCTAGAGACCCCTGGGTACACAGTGGCAGTTCTGCCCAGTAGTTGTTTTGAAGTCCTAAGCAAGAGTTACCCGACAGCCCATCCTGGGGTGTGTTCTGACCTACTAAAACTTCCCACTTTCCCCTGCACCTCAGGTGGAAGAAGCTTTGACCATCAAAAACACGGACATCGCCAAGGAGCTCTGCCTCCCGCCCGTGAAACTGCACTGCTCCAGTGAGTCTACCCCAAGTATCAGGAACTGAGACGCTCAGTAGTCATAACTCCCTGTTAGGCACCTATCCTGTGACCCCAGAAAACATCTGCCATGGTAACCTTTGGGAGATTAGAGCCTATGGTCTCACGCTCCAGAGCTCTAGGAAGTCAGGCTGGGAAGCCTCTGCCCTAGAGCCACACTGAGCACCCAGAAACACCCCAGCCGGCAGCATTGCTCCCCTCAGAGATGAGGAAATGAGGCTTGGGGAAAAGCAGTAGGGCCAGAGGTGAGCCCGGATCTTTGTTCAGAATCAGCTGTTCCCACCACACTGGTGGACAGGCGGGCAAGAGACAGCTTTCTCCACCGCCCTCTTCACTGTGCATTTCCTCAACTGAGGTCATTGTGTAACACTTGCATTGCCCTAAGAGAGGCCATGCACCTCAGAACCTGCACTCACATCTGATGCCTTCCATCCACTCCCATGTCCCAGAAAGCAGGAATGAGGATGTCACTGTAACATGCTGTCAGGTTTGCTGACCTAGTCGGTTCAGATGCATCAGAGAGCAGACGAGCGAAGGACTGGTGCACCATCCTCAGGACACCCCTGAGATCACACTTTACAGTTTGGCAGTTGAGGGAAAGCCTCAGCCTTTAGCCTTCCAGGTGCCAAGGCAGTAGCTCATCTGTGTGGGTCATTAGCTTTCTGTGGCCTTCTGGCTCTCAGCTTCTACTCCCCGTAACCTCACTCTGGGTATCCACCTCAGTAAAAGCCTTCCAGTATGGGACTGCAGGAGGAGGTGTGCAGACTGTGCCATCAGAGTTCTTGGCTTAAGGCTGAGCTCTGCCAGCACTTGTGACCACCAGTCCATACTCTCTGGGACCTGATCTTTGTTGTGTCCCTGCCTGGTGACAGGCACTTTCTGGAAATCCCCTCACTATCCCAGCCAGGAAGGCATGACCATCCCAGTCTGTGTGCCCAGCTAGGACACTCTTGGGCCTTCCCAGCTCTAGCACCCTCCAGCTTAAAAAGACTCTCCTCCTTAAGACCACCTCCCAGACCAGGGAGACAGCCCAGGGGTAAGGCTTGTCACCAAGCCCAAGTTAGAGCACTTAAACCCACATGGTGGAGAAGAAAACCCACTCCCCAAAATTGTCCTAGACCTCCACATGAGCACAGCACATGCACCCACTCACATACATGTACAAACACACGCATACATGCTCCAAATACCTATTTACACAACTATATGAATAAACAAAGATAAGTGTATAAAATCATAAAGACCACCTCTCCAATGTCTTGAAAGTGAAGCTATCTACCCTTCCATGCCTTCCAGTGCTGGCAGAAGACGCCATCAAAGCTGCCCTAGCCGATTACAAACTGAAACAAGAACCCAAGAAGGGAGAGCCAGAGAAGCAGTGAGCCCTGGAGAAGCTCCAGCGGGTCACAGCTGCCTCCTGCCACCCTGCACCACATCAACGCTACGAGAAACGCACACTGTTCACCATTGCCATTGTGGTTCTAATGCAGGCAAATACACTGTTTGATTATGCCTAGTTCTACGTTCCTTTCAGCTCACTCGTATCTTTAGTGCAATTAACGTCTGTTCTGATTTATGTTGTGTCCTGAGAGCTGAAGTCTTAAGCTTTGGTGGCCTTTGAAGAGTGACAGCAAGTTTTACCTAACCCTGTGGGGGGGAGGTTGCCAGCAGAATGCCTTGTAGTTATTTGATAGAATTTATTACTGTATATTTAACAGATCTGCATATATATATATATTATAATAAAAGAATGTAAGATGATGGTTATCTCCAGTGAACCTGCTTCTTGAATCCTTCACTTATGCCCAAAGCCCCTTGGGGTTCCCCAAGGCCAGGCTGAGATGAATAAGCATACCAGTGCTTAGCCACTTGGGTGCTCTTAAAAGGGTACAGGAGATAGATGTCTGTTGCTCCTCACTGCTCTTTGGGAAGTGTAGTAAATTCACAACAGCTTCAAGGGTCCCTGCAGTAATACCACTGGTCTATGAAAGTCAGAAATAAACCCAAGAAGCTAGCTGAGGTGTTGCCTAGCTCTGTGGGCCAAGCAGAAGAGCCTCGGGGTGAGTCTCAACTATTGTCTAGGCCCAGGCACCAGTTTCGTTCTGGCAGATGGTTCTGCTAGCCTTCCAGAGGCCTCACAGGCTTTTTGTGCCCTTCTCATGTTTCACTGAAGAGTACATGTACTGCACTAGCCTTGAATTTCTTCAAAACAGGCATCTCACTGGTCATGGTGGCACCTGCCTGTAAACCCAGCACTCAATGGGTTGAGGAAGAAGATTAAAAATTAGAGGGTAGCCTGGTCTACTCAGACCATGTCTCCAAACACAGTCTGACTCAGGCATGGATAGCAGCCACCCCTGCCCCGAGCTACACAGTGGTATAGCCTAGTGAAAGGCCCTATTTTCCAGTGAAGACACTGGAACACTACCACAGTGAACTTCAAAGGCAAACTGTTTCTGATGGCGGCTTTGTTGTGCAGGCACTTGCAGGCTGACTTTGAAATCATCCTTTATTTTAAAATAGTCTGAGTTCTAGTGAAGGGCTCAGAACTTCAAAGGCCACTCCCTCCACAGTCTGGAGGAGACCACAGGCCAGAGTCCATCAGAATCTCAAATTAGACCCTGGGTGGGGCTGTGTCAGATTGCCCTGCAGGGCTCGCTGTCCTGTGCTGCTATGTAATTCAGGGCCTTGCTCGTGGCCGTGGCACAGGGCCCCACCCCTATTTGTGACTTTAAAATGAGGCACTTCTGTCCCAGCTGACATCTGAAATTCCACAGCCTAACCCTGAGGATGGGAGTGAGTGCAGCCCAAACAGGCCCGGTTTCTAGCACTTGCTGTAAAGCCACCCCTCTGCAGACAGATCAACTTCGGCCCCATGTACCCATCACTGAGCCTAAGTCTCCATAGGAATCTCCAAACACTGAAGTAGCTCTTCCATGTAATGTCTGCTATTTGGAGGGTTTTGGGTTTTGGTTTTTAGTTTGTTTTTGCCTCAAAATTCCTCAATCCTCCTGCCTCAGTCTCCCAGATGTGTGGTTACAGCATGAACCATGTAGGTGGATCACATGATGGGTCTTGGGAGACAAGGTGAGTCACTGAAGCCTCCTGAACCGCCCCTCCACACTCCACTTTTCCTGGCAGCCTCTGAGGAAACTGCCCTTTTAAACACCTCAGCAGCATCTGGCCCTGTGAGCTGCCCAGATCCTACACTTCTTGTCCGGTCAGTTCTGATAGATCGCTGTGGCTCTGAGGACACCAGAGATATCACCAGAAACACCCACAGGAAGCACTAGCCATCACTCGCCGTGACTCTGTCACCCAGGGGATTACCACTGTATGGCTCTATACACCAGGCACTGGAGCTAGGAGCTGTAAAGAAAAAAGTGAAGTGATGGGTTCAAGGTCAAGACCCCTCCAGTCAGGAGTCAGCACAGGCAAGACCTTGGCTGTTACTGTAGTCACCATGAACACTGCCATCGTCATTCTTGCCGCTGCTCATAGAAACTGCTGTTACCATGGCCATTAACCATATCATTCTTTTATAATAGTATCTCAAGGTTTCCAGCCTCAGTGTTGTTAGCCTGGAACTACACAGTACTCCAGAATACTACACAGTACTTCACAGTACTCTAGAGAACTATTACAGTATTTCACAGCTCTCCAGAATACTACATAATACTCCTTACTACACAGTACTTCATAGTACTTCACAGTGCTCCAGAATACCACACAGTACTGCACAGTAATCCAGAGTACACAGCACTGCACAGATCCTCCTGGTGACATCCCTGCAGCAACACACCAGTAGCTCCTGTCACACATGGCTTGACAGGCAAATTTGCTCCACCACAGTCAGCCTGCCACGGGGCTGAATAACCACCTTCACATCCACCCAGTTGTCTTTGGAAAGTCATCTTAGTTACCTCCACCCCTGGCCTTGCTCCACAGAAACCTAACTCCAAGGGGAGGAGAACCCTCAATACCCTGAAGAGTGGTTTCTGAACCCTCCCATGCTGCCCCATGGCCTCAGGCTAACCGGTCACAGGAAGCCTGAGTGGGGAAAATGGGCTGGACCACACCTTGCCCTAGTACAGCATGCCCTACAGTCCTCCGCCCCACAGCCTGGAAACAGGACCATGGACTTTAGGGACAACTTTGGAAGAAAATCCAGAGGCCTGGGTTCTGATTGTAACTATGCCATGATCTGTCTACAACAGACATGTAGCCATATGCTTAACCTCACTGAGCTTCTTGTCCCACACTGGGAGACTGGCACTATACTGGCCCCTAAGTTTCAAGATTGTTGTGAGAGTTAATCCCACAACACCGAGCATCTAGCAAGAACTGGGATGAGGTGCCACCTCCGAGGCCATAGCTACTGCTGTCACAGCCATTGCCAGCACCATCAACACCACCCTGGCTGGCTAATGTCCTCGTGCTGGACAGCAGATTGCATTCCTTCAAAACCTCCATAGCAACTGTCTCTGAAGAGAGTCTAGTGTAGCAATTGCCTCTGCCTCCTGAGTGCTGGCATTAAGGTGTAGGCCACCACACCCTATAGGTCAATCGGATGGAGACACTTTCTCAATTGTGCTTTCCTCTTCTCAGATAACTCTAGCTTGTGTCAAATCGGCAAGAAACAAAAACTAAACATGACAATCACCATCACCACCACTGCCATCATCAACACCACCACCATCATTGTCACCATTGTTACCATCACCACCACCATTATTACACACCCTGCTCCTGCAGAAAGCTGTCTCTCCAATGGATGCCATGAGCGGGGTGTTCACTTGAGATGATTCCTGAAGAAATGGGGTAAGAATTCAGAGTTGAAAGAGAGGAGAGATAATCATGGTGTCACCAATCCAAGTCCCCATGACTGGGTGCTTTAGGCCTGATGTTCCTCCATGTTGTCCTGCAAAAGGACCTAACTCTCTTCACACTGTTGGTGTCAGGACTCATTTTCCCAGAGAGAGTTCTAGTTTACACTTGGAGGCAATAAGACACTGATGACTAAGCCGCTGGTATCCCAGGCATCCCCGAGTCTTGCTATCTAGGGGCAAAGGGCTCAGTGAGAGCATTCATTGGTCCTTCAGCTCTAGGATCCTGCTCTCTTTCCCACAAAACAAGGGTCCCCAGAGAGTGCTCCCCATCAGGGGAGTGCTCATCCACTTCAACCCCCAAAGGCTGCAGACAGCCAGCTTAGATTCTTTGTAGGTCTGGCTTGGACAGTCCCAGGCTCTGAGTCTCCTTCCAAGCATCCCCAGTCTTCAGGGGAGCCGAGTGGTGGACAGTGAGCTGGTATGGCTTTTTTTTTTAAATCTAGCTAGCTAAGCTAAGGGTTCCCAGGGACAGAGCTGAGTCTGTGCTGTGTATGATCCTCCAAGCAACTACATTTGCTCGGCTTGTTTGGACAACAATAGAGGGGCAGTTGGAAAGTGCCCAGCACAAAGTATACTGCAGGCGCTTATTAAATGCTCATTCCTCCATCGGGTGGTTCCTTAAACACACTGTGAGGAAGGAACAATATACTTCAGCCTTTCATGAAGCAGCTGCCCGCTCCGCTCCCACTCTCACACAGCTTGCTCGGGACACTAGGCTTACCTCTCCCAATTCATTCCTACCTCAGGATCTTTGTACCTGCTGTTCCCAGTTCAGGAACTCTCTTGGCTAGAGTTCCCAAAGGCTGCTGCCCTTCAGATGGATCTCACTTAAATGCCATCTTCCAGACCGGCTCCCAGTAGCCACAGCTAAGGTGACACAGGCCTGGTCACTACACCATCATAGTCGCTCTAGATGTTCCTTGCTTAGAGAGATCACCCTCTGGTTCACCTTCCTCCAGACCTGCCCACAGCGAGGACCCTGGGAAAGCCTGGAGGCAGAACTCTTCCCTAACTCCTGGGCAGTTTTCTCTGCTCGCTTGCAGTTGATGAGGTAACTGAATCTCAAGAACTATATTCCCTTCCAGCTCAAACAAAAAGATTCCACAGACTTGGAAAAGTCCTAGTTTTAGCCCATAACCGATGCAGGCCAGGGCATGACTCATCTGCCCCCTCTGCCTAGACAACCCCTCCTCTCCTCACCCCACCGCAAAAGCAAAGCGTTTCTCCCCAACTCCAGCCGCAGGGGGTGGCTGAGCAGAATGCAGGGCATCAAGACCCCTCCTGCCTGTCTGCTGCTAGCATTTTTACCCAGCCTCAGGATGTCTCAAGCTCTGTCTGGTACAACTGGGGGGGGGGGGAAGTCGGGTCCCCCTGGGATCCCATCAGCCGGAAACAGCGGCAGAAGTGTGCAGGAGAAAGCGCTGAGCCAGCAAGAGTGAGTGTAGGGGATGCTGTCCCTGGGATGACTCTGCCTGCTGGGCGGCTCCCAGTTCTGCAGGGTCAGCATATCAGGGAGACACCAGGCAAGACAGCAGGAGGAGGGTGGGTGCGCACAATGCGCCTCATTCTGCTTGCCCAGGCACAGGTCCACCCAGCCTCCCATGGTGATGAGGAGCTGTGCTCCAGTAGAGGATGGAAAGTATTTACTAAACTTCAGTGGCTGTCCTGGCTCCTTTTATGTCAACTTGACCCTAACTAGAGTCACTGGAAAGGAGGGAACCTCAACAGAGAGAATATCTTCCCAATTAACGATTGATAGGGGAGAGACAAGCCCATTGTGGGTGGGTCCATCCCTGGGCTGGTTGTCCTGGATTCTATAAGAAAGCAGGCTGAGCAAGTCATGAGGAGCAAGTAGGTAAGCAGCTCTCCTCCATGGCCTCTGCATCAGC